ATGATAAGCTTTCTCTCTGCTTCAAAACCCCATAGGCCAGTCCTGTCTAGTGGAAACAAACACAAGTCCCTTTTATAATTTAAATGTTTTAGTTGTCCTATTAACAAAGAGAAGGAAATAGATGAAGTATTTTGGTCATATATTTTATCTAAATATATATCTAAATTATTATTATTTTAACATATAAAACCATTTTTTAAATTATCAAATTATTTTCCTTTTGGGGGGGGCTGGGTAGCAAGTCTTCAAATTCCATTGTGCATGTTACACCTACAGCACATCTCAAGATGCTAAATTCTCTTGGGGGAAAAATCTGATCTGTATTTAGACCTCATAGAATTTACCATTGGAAAAGCAGCTTCACATGCCCAACTGGGCCCAAACATACTCAGAAGCCTGGCAATCACTGAACCAAGGGTCAATTTTTAAATTGAAATTTACATCAGCTAAAATGAAATGATGTTGGAGTTCTGGTTCATCAGATAGACACAGGCCACATATCCAGTGGTTGGTAGCAGCATGTGGCCAGGGAACCATACTGGTCAGTGCAGTCATAGTCCTAGGTGCCTCCTGAGAGGCACCCACTCCACTTGGGTGTGTATGAGAAGGTTGCATGTGTGTGACTCAGCCAAAGCACAATTCCCAGGGAAGGATCTCTTCTTTCTCTCTCATTTCTCTATTCCCAGTGCCCAGCACAGGGCCTAACATACACTAGGCTCTAAGTAAACACTTTGTAGATAAATGGGAGAAAAAGCCAATGGATATGTGATCTCATTCTTCCTATCAAATTATTAATCATTTGTGCATATCCACTTGGCCCTCCGCATCTCGGGTTCCTGGTACCTGGATTTAACTAACTGCAGATGACAAATACGTGTATAGACATTTTTCTTGTCATTATTTCCTAAGTAATACAGTGTAAGAGCTATTTACATATAATTTACATTGCATTAGGAATTCTTTTTATTTATTGGTTCTTTTTAATTATACATGACCATAGAACCCATTTTGATATAATTATACAGCATGGAATATATAATTTTTTTACTCTTTAACTTGGTCTAGTTATTATACTTGACAGTAGAATGCATTTTGACACATCATCCATAATTGGAGTATAACTTCTCATTCACCTGGTTGTACATGATGTAGAGTTATACAGGTCACATAATCATATATGCATGTAGGGTAATAATGTCTGATTCATTCTACTATCATTCTTACCCCCTTGCCCCCTCCCCTCCCTTCACTCCCCTCTGTCTAGTCCAAAATACCTCTATTTTCCCCACTACTTATTGTGAACTGCCACCCTCATATCGAGAAAATAGTTGGCCTTTGTTTCTTTGGGATTGGCTTATTTCACTCAGCATAATATTCTCCAATTCCATCCATTTTCTGACAAATGCCATAATTTAATTCTTCTGTAAGGCTGAGTAATATGGGATATAGCTTATTCTAGTTAGGACCTCATTCTTGCGGATATACATGATGGTGGGATTCACTGTGATGTTTTCACATATGTACCATAGGAAAATTATGTCAGATTCATTCCACTGTCTTTTCTTAGGTTTTGCATTAGATATTATAAATAATTTAGAGATGATTGAAAGCATGCAGATACTACACCCTCTTATATAAGAGACGTGAGCATCCAGGATTTGGGTATTTAACCAAGGTTTCTGGAACCAATCCCTTATGGATACTGGGGGATAACTAATCTGTTCTTCTTAGCATTTTCTATTGTGCCAACACACAGCCTTGCCCAACACAAGGTCAACAAGTATTTCTTCCTCATTTAGATGACTTAAGGGTGATATGACCACATAGGTTTCACTCATGTTAGTTTATGCTCAAGTATGCAAGGAACACATGCATATCATACATAAAAATAACTTTTAGGGTCTTACTTTTTAAAAATCTCCTCAGTGTGACAGTCAACTGATTTAACCGTGGAATGTGTGAGATCACACTAAAGTGACCATGGGGATGGCTGTCCTTTTTAAACAGAGATCTCAGCAGGAGATTCTGATAGGTTCACTCTTTTCTTCCCTCCCTCATTCCCTCATACATTCTTTATTTGCTGTATTGAACACTGGACTTCTAAAGAAATATAGGTACTCTCTATAAAACCTTAAACAGATGGAAAGAGAGAGATAAGGGTGAAAAGAGACTGAGAAGGAAGAGGACAATGGTACAGCTGGTACAAGGACCAGCTGCTAGCAAAACCCACCCAGGGTACATGTCCACACAGCCAGGGTGGGGCCAGCTGAACCAGGGAACACACCAATTTCCAAGGTGTCGAGATCCTTATCTGGGGATCAGTACCTTGAGAAATCAGTCTTGTTTTTATGACAGCGATATTACTATAAAAAATAAGCCTGATGCTCATCAAATGCAGATTAAGCATCCCTAATCTGAAAATCCCAAATGCTCCAAAATCCAAAACTTTTTGAGCATTCACTTGATACCATAAATGGAAATTCCACCCTGGAACTGTACTTCATGCACAGAATTATTTTAAAACATTGTATAAAATTACCTTCAGTTTATGTGTATACGGTGAATGTAAAATGTAAATAAACTTCGCATTTAGACTTGGGCCCTATCCTAAAAAATATTTTCATTATGTATATGCAAATATTCCAAAGTCCAAAATTTGAAACACTTCTTGTCCGTCCCAAGCATCCTGGATAATGGACACTCAGTCTGCACTTCCATGAAAATGGGGTTAGAGACCTAAAGTTTATAATCCCTACCACAGCTTTCAC